AAATGAGCCAGTTGAGAACACAAGATCCAGAATAACTTTGCTGTCCAAACGCAGTGTGGGAACAGGCTATAACTTGATGTGCCTGAAGCTCAGTCCTAGCAATACGTGGTTAGACAGCATGATGAACCACCAAATGAAGTCATACTCCACTTGACAGCATCTTCCCTTGTTCCTGCAACTCTTGCTTCTCCTTGTGTGTTAAATCTTGCAATTCTCTGATGCTGTAGGAGGGCTTCGCTGCATTATGAGGTAAAGGTTAGTAGATCCAAAAAACTGCTGACAAAGATGTCTGATCCTCAGAGCTGGCATATGGATGTGAGGAATAAGGGCAGCCACCAACAGTATGGAGTTGTTAGATTGACTCCCCTGTCTTATTGCATTAGAGTTTCATTTGTAATTGTATGTTTTCCGAAGTCAGAGTCTCAAAAGCACAAGAAACTGTGAGAACAAGTATCTTCACTATGATGTTGTCATGGTTTGAGATAGCCCCAAAATCCAATTCCCTAGCTCCATTCCCCCCTCCCACATCTCAACCTAATGTGAGGTGGGTTTTTCCAGACAAAACACACCAGACTCAAAGTGGGGGAAAGGGAATATATTACAATGACTGTACAAATAAATACCATATCACATTATACACATGATCACAAACTATCTCTACCATGACATATGTATTTACAATGATCAGATCTCTTCTCCCCTCCAAATAAAAGTCCAGGAGGGAAAGAAGGACAGATCCCTTCCAGTCTCTGAACAGCAGCATCTTCTGAGGCAGCAGTCTGTCTTCTTCACATTGATGCAGCAGCTACAGACCCCTTCCAGTCTCTGAACAGCAGCATCTTCTGAGGCAGCAGTCTGTCTTCTTCACATTGATGCAGCAGCTCTGGCTGGCTTTCTGCCAGCACTCACGAGGGAGGTATCCAAACCTCTCTCGGCCCCATCGCCTCCAACCGAGGGGTCTTCCGTGGGCTTCGTAACCCCAGACAAGGTCGTATCACCACGTCATATCACGAAGACACAGGGGGGTCTTCGTGACGGTCTGGTATCTCCAGGAGACTCAGCTCCTTGCAGGGCCTCTGTGCCCTGTCTCTCAGGCTGCCACCGTGGCAGCAGTGCAAGGGGGGGGAGCCAAGGTCAACTCCCCCCGCATTCCTCTGGCCGTCCCGGTCCAGCTCCGGGACGCTCTGAGCTTCTCAGCTCCTCTCTCTCTCTGGTGCTGCATGTCTAAAACTCTTCTCCTTAATAGGAGTCCATCTCCCTCTTTTCTCAGAGGGATCTCAAAGGAGTTTTGGGGGCTGGTACAGTCTTACCCCCAGAACTCTCTCTCTCAGGCTGCTGGCTCTCTTTTTCCCGGCTCTCCTTCCAGGAGTCCTTTCTTTGGTGCTGCATGTTGCTTCTGCTGCTCCTCCAGTTCAGGTTCTTATCTCTGGCTCTCTGCCACCGTTTCTCTGGTCAGTGCCGGCTGCTGCTCTGTGCCCATGGAGAAAACATCTCCTGGCATAACTACAGGCACCTAGCCCAGCTTTATGCTGTTCCAGGTCCCTGCAGCCCCCCAGCCAGGGGCTGGGAGGGCCCAGAGGGCCCAAGAGGCTCAGAGCCCCTTCCTCGTGGCTCTACAACATGGCCACCTCTCCTACAACAACCAAACTACAACTCATCTCTTCCGGTGAGCTTGTGATATGTTTACATTTTTGCAGGAGCGCCCATTGGACAGAACTCCAAAACTTCCAGGGGTTTCCACCCCTTGGGGTCTACCACTTAATTTAGCCTCTGGGGGAAAACAAGATTCAAACCACGACAGATGTGAATGAATAAGGGTAATGAAGTGGGAGGGCAGAGAGGATGGGGCAGAAGGGGGCAACCTAAAGACACTCCTGTGCTTTACAGAGCTTACCACTCCAGCCCTAAGCACTAACTGAATCTGAGCAGGGAGTATCTTTACAATAGGGATCCTTTAGTCTAACTACAAAAAAAAAATACAAAAATATACCCAGTATGACTTAATTTTAACATTTCGGTTAAGTACAGAAGAAATTACAGAAACAGAATCATGGAATCACTAACGTTGGAACAGATACTGATCTCTTCTCTTTGATGACCTGTGATAGGAGCCGTGGGAAAGGCATGAAGCTGTGTCAGGGGAGGTTTAGTTTGGGTATTAGGAAAAAGTTCTTTACCCAGATAGTAGGTGGGCACTGAACAGGCTCCCCAGGGAAGTGGTCACAGCACCAAACCTGACGGAGCTCAAGAAGCATTCGGACAAGGCTCTCAGGTACATGATGTGGTTCCTGGAGATGTCTTGTGCAGGGGTAAGAGTTGGACTTTGATGGTCCCTTCTAACTCAGGATATTCTGTGATTCTATGATTGTGTGATTCTAATAATGTCGACCTGAGCTCATTTATAGTGTAGGAATCTGAAAAGACTTACTGAAATAGCATTTTTGCTGTCTCTAAATGGTTTACTCAGTCAGCATCTACAGCTTCTTCAAAACTGAAGTTCAGTGCCTAGAAAACCTCAGAGCTATTATTGGAGTTAAGAGGCTTAAAGATCTCTGAGGATCTTCTCTTCTTAGTCTTCTGCCAATCTTTAGTGTGTAAGGATTTATAGTCCTGTCAGCAAATATTTATTCAGCTCTGTTGCAGCCCTATATAAAGAGTTCTAGTCAAGAGAAAGGATGCATGAAGGTAGACTCTCTGCATCCAGCTTCTTTCAGGATGAGCTGCCATACATCCCAACACAGCCTTCTCAAACAAATTGTTGTCCTGATAATGCCAAGTATTTTCTGGAGCTAAAAGTTTCTTTGGCTGGTTATTTAAACAAATCACTCAATCTTCTGTGTAGACACAGGGGACATCCTTACCAATTCCTCTGTATCTGGGATGTCATTTTCTGCCAAGGTGGTGTGCACTGATTTCTTTTTCTGGGTCACTTGATATTCTTTGGTCTCTTGACTGTGTATCAAGGCCCTTGCAAGACTTCGATAGGTTTCTGTTTGGTTGTATTTTTAACCGAGCTCCTGTGGTACAGGGAGCATAATAAAATTCCCCATATCAGTGTACCTACAGATGTAGATTCTCTGTGTCGTGAATCATTGAAGGCATCTTTGATCCTTCTAGACTGCATGGCCAGACATGTTCTGTCATCTCTTATATCAACCTGACTAGCAAGATGCCTAAGACCTTGGTGAATTTACCATCCTTTGTATGATTTGTTTATATTTTTTCCTCTAGTAGATAACTGTTCTTTAGTAAGTAGATATCTATAGGACACTGCCTCTCCTCTCCCCCCACAGAGATATTAAGAGGGAATGTCTCCTTGGTTTAGTGAGCTTACTTGGAAAGACTGGAATCTTAAAGCTTGTTTGACTCATTCACATGAATCTGAGGAACTGAGGGTTGTTAGATGGCTTTGTTTGCCTTCTTATGTCTTATTCTTGCAGAAAATACTATTATTTTGGTTTTCACCGATAAAGAATAATTCAGACATGCCACCAAAAATGTGTGAGAGTTCTCCTACCTGGCTCATATTTTTTTATATCTATGAAAACTATTTTCTTTGTGATGATATTAGATAGCACACATGCTAGTGTTTGTGGAAGTTGACCAAGACCTACTCCCAAGAACCATTTCATACCTTGCTTTGGCACCAGCCTAGACAATGTAATGCAGAGCAAGTGTATGGAAATCCACTTCTGTAGTACATTTGCTGATTCTCAACTCAGGTCATCACGTGGCAATTTCAGCTGAGTGTGATGAGGTGTACATAGGATGAAACACATGGTTCTAGACACGGAAAAGGCCATTTTAAAATTTGTGTCCATGTATTGTAACTCAGTGTTTGTGTCTTGTTAGCATTATCTTGCTAATGAGTGACTTGTGTTATTCTTCATATGTAAGACAATACCTGAAGTCTTGTTCACTACGCTTCTGTTGTATGTTGATGGGGCAGAACTGCAAAGAATTACTTGGGCAAGGTTTACAAAATTCTGATGAGTATGGACATCAATAGTGTGGAGGTAAATGCTACTCCTGAGTAGGTGCAAGTAATTCAGCTGCTCCATGTTTTTTCATTGATCTGCTTCTGACAATTACTTCGATGAGGGTTGTTTCCTCTGAGGAAGGAACATCAAAGTGAAGCTACATGAACCTCAATAACTTTCTTTATTCCTGGAGTTGTTCTTGCTTAGGGACCAATGTAGAAACTCTTAAGAGCTTTTGTTATCTCAACTTTACGTAAATTCCTGTTAAGTGATGGTTGGATCTGTCTAGGTTGAGGAAACGGAATTTTATTGTGAGTTTGTTGCTACAGTTCTCAAACGGTGCTTTCAAGATTGTGACTTCAAACTATGTGAGATGCTTATTCTTGAACATAGCAAAGACTAGAGACATAGGGACTGGCGAAACATCTGTCTGGTTCTGGAGGAGGCTGTGAGCATGGCTTAAAAGGACCTAATCAGTTTTATTACAAAATTTTATTATGATACAGACATTTCTTCCTTGATTTCAGAACTTTCGTACTGAAAAATAATTCCCTGAGCATGACAGCAATAGTCTGCCTGACAGCACTGCCTGGCAAGTGTCCTCTTGTTTCTGAAGTATAGAATCAAATCCCATCTCCCTTTTGTTTATGATAGGCTTACCTTTGTGAAAGGTAGTGGGGGGGTAATGTGCAAAAGACCTAAGTTCGTGGAGTGCATCATCATCTTCTGGTCCTCCTGGGAGAAGAGAGAGATTGTACTTCTTTGGAAGCAAGTTCCAGTTGTATTGTATAGATTAGATACTTGCCCTGTACTGATGTAGTCATATGTGTTTGGTACCCTTCAAAACAGAGGAGGAAGCATTACAAGAAATACTACCCTGTAGTAACCGCCTCAAGCTTAGTTCCCCGTGGATGTCCACTTCAAAATCTGTGTAAAATGCATGTTATAAAAGTGTAATTGGCAAAACTTTTTAGACTTAGAGATACAACTGATTATTGGCTCTGTTTTTTGTTTTACAAGGTGGAGAAAATACACAGGGGCGATCAGATGGATGAACACCTTTATCCTGCAAAGAAAATACCACCGGCAGCAAAAAGCGATGCCGATCAGGAAAAGGCGTCTCAGAATGTTACGTCTTCAAAAGCAGACCCTTTGTTAAAACCGAATGTGGAGACCACGTCTGCATCACTGAGCAGCGACCTAAAGCAGAAAGTTGTTAGCATCTTGCTGAAATATTCCAATGGTCTTTGGGCTCATGCACTGCCCAAAGTGTACCAAGACACTTACCAAGCAAAATTTCCAGAAGACGTTCTCAGTAATCTAGAGTTGCTCTCAGATGTGTGTACGGTGGATTATGTATCTGAAGTCCCCAGAAGGGCTATCCTCTATGCTAAACCCCAAAGATGCATTGATGAAAACCTGAATGTCACTGAGAAAGTCCAGAGTCGTGATGGAGTGAAGGCCACAGCTGAACAGCAGGATGAAGAATCCAAGGACCAGTATCCAGAGAACATAACTGTTCCTTCTCTAATCATTCCGTCGGAAGGATCTGTGTCCATCGTGGTGTTAGAACTGAAAAACACTAATGAGGTCCTAATTAGGCAAGTTTGTATTTTGGAATCTATCTTTTTTGCTTTATTTATAAATCCACATAGTAACATTGTATAGATGTACCAGGAAGGAATTGCTGAAGAGGAGGTTTCAGGGCTTTATTATTTACTTAATTTGCTAATGAAACTTAAGAATCCTTTTGTTTGCCTAAATGGAAATTTTCCAAAACTTTTTCTGTCCTGAACTGATTGCTTCTATCACTGGCTTATATGAAATGAAGGCAGATTTGACTTGCCATTGCAAGACTTTTTAAAATAACCCTAGTACAACACGTAATAGTATTCAGATATTATTGTTGTTCTTACTAAATTACTTTTTACTTCTATAACTGACTTACTACTAACTAGATGTGACTTGAGTATGCTCAGATTCCACTTTGATTTTCACTTCTGGAAACAGATGAGGTTTCATCCAACAATAGACTACTAGTGCTTCTTGATTTGGTTACTGATCAGTCCAGCCTTAGAGGACAGTGTAAGAAGTGGATTGTAATGGCTGTCTTAGGTATATGCTATTGTACTGTTCCAGGATATACCATAATAAGCTTTGTATACTTCATTGTTGGAATAAAGTACTAGAAATCCTAGCAGTTCTTTAAAACTTAAAAAAAAAAAGTCAAACCCTAAACATTTTCATAGAGGATATTTCACTTTTAAAATTGTTTTAAATTGACCCTAGTCTTAAAAAGTTTATAGGGCACTTCAAGAGGATGAATTGAGTGACTGTGTGGTCATATGCTACAGTGACAGATTTCTGGTTTTTCCCCACTAATTTCTGCAGTTTCTGCTTTGGTTAGATAGCTTCAGTCATTCTCAGATGAGGATTGAATTAAGTATGTGTACAGATCCTATTACCCCATTCCTCATTACTGTTTGGCAGTATTCAATACACTGGGCTTATAGCTGAAATCTAGATATCCTTTTTCTCTAGGTCTCAGTAATATATTGTCTTGAACTTCAGGTGTCACTCCACTATTTTAGTGTCATGGAATCTCAAGGCTGATAGTGTGTAGCAAAGATCCCCTTACTTAGGGGTTACCAGAGGAATTTCCATTTGAGAATGTAGCCATCTTTGTTTTAGCAGCTGTTACCATTCCTGTATTGTGCTTTTTCTCATATAGCTTCTGTGTGCATTGTTTATACAGTTATTTTGTATACTGGTCTCACCACAAAGCGTAATTTAAGGCAAGCTTCTTCATCTGTCAAAAAGATTTGTCCTGTATCCAGCTAAACAAGTCAATCATTTTAGCAAAGAAGACACAGTTGGAATTTGTGAGTGACCCTCAGCTTAAAAAAAAAGAAATCACAGAAGAAAGAAAGAGAGGCTTTACGTTTTAGGTTGTTCCTGAGAGATCTCTTTGAAATTAGTCCAAAACATGAAATATGATGAAGATCAATAGTGGCAGGAAAGACAACCCATTTGAGACATAAGCATTCTGTATGCAGAGATACAGAAGCAGACACAGTGCATATGTTTTGCACTGGGAAGAGGAGGAACAAATTACATCTCCTACTTCCAGCTTGCTATGCAGGTGGAACTTAACTCTTCAAAACTTCTTCCTTCTCCCTGTACACCTTTTAATTCTGGCAGCATTGATAACTTGCTGCACATGGGAGTAACAGTTCTTAACCTTCTAATCTGTTATTTCAAGCATGTTTCCACTAATTATTTGGGAGGAATACTGTATGACACTGATGATCTGAGGGTGATTATATTAAAATTTCTCTACAAAGCAGCACTTCCCAAATTGTGGGCCACGTTTCTTGGACAGTGTTAAGGTTTCTGAATTTGTCAGCTCCATACAGGTACATGACGAAAATTAGTGGTCTCTTGGCCCTAGGTATGGAAATTACTACTTAGGGTTATGGGCAAGGTCTTTTTTCTTGATATGATGCAACCAGCTCTGAAGGGAATAGTTTTTTTGCCATGACAAGAAAATGTTCACGTGGACGTATAGGAGGGGAACAGTGCATGGGCTCATCTGTCCTTACATGTCCTACCAGTCCCTTTCTGCTCATCTACACAAGGACTGTTTAGGGGCTGTTGGTTGATGTTGGTTTTTGTAGGACCAATAAAATCAAGATTCCTCTTTCAGTCTTGGGGAGAGAGCAATATCTCTTTAGTATGTGGCTAAGTATTGTTTGGCTGAAACCTTTGAAATGCAGTAGTAGTGAAGGCAAAGCTGGAAGGTTTGGTGCTGTTTCTGTTTTGAGACATGGAACAATTCAGTGAGAATTCCGATGTAGTCAGTATGAAAGTGAGGTGATAGAAACACTCCTGGATATTTGCTGTACATGCACAACAGTGTGATTGAAGGCAGAGAGGATGCACTAGGTGCTGCTTTTGAATTCTCACAAGAAATAATTAACTGTCATGGTTTATTCTCAGGTACTTTAAGTTTCTGTGCTACAGCTTGGATACTTTTTTCCCCTCGTCTTTTTGCCTAGATGAAATTGTGTTGTATGTTTCACTGTGGAAGCATACTCCTCTGTTCCTTTCACAGTGGAGCAGCAAACATTACTGGACATGTGAACTAGTTCCAGTTGAAAAAGAATGCACACTTGTAGTGCCTGGCTACCTGCACATAGATTAGCCTCTAATACACTTTTTTTGAGGTGGCTTTACAGGATTCTTTTCTAAAAAAAAATCTGAAAAATAATTTTTCAATTGGCTTCGAGCAACCAAAAACTTCTTCAGTATGAGGCTCACCAATTACTAGAAAACAGTGAATGAGGCAGGAAATTTTGAGAGATTCTTCTGCTTTCTGTTGAGCTACTCCAACTGTCTATTAGGTATCCTTATGAAATAAATGTTAAAGAAACTTTTAAGTAGCACATACATGACTGTCACCCCACTTTATCTCTCCTTTGAAGGAGATGAACATTGTTTTGTAGAAATAAAAAGGCTGTCACCCTGAAAAGCGTGAGGCTGTCTTTGGGAAAATGAGGGTTCCCCTGGAATGTGATTAGATTTAATTTAATTTAATAAAGTTACCATAGTATGTCATAGTACAATATCTGCAATAATTTTGGGTATATAGCAGGCCTTCAGAATAAACTCAGATGTTTATAGGATGATGATCTAAACTACGTTGTAGAATTGTTCAGTGTCAATTCAGCATTTGAATATGCTGAAACAGTAGCTACTAAATACAAATTTTTATGTTTCCTTTTGGCTACTCTAATCTGACGTGTTTCTGAAGCCTTCAGAACTTCCTATTTGGAGTTTTCAGAAAGTTTATATACTTCAGTACGTACAAACTGCTTCAGTAAGAACCATTAGGTCAGCAACCTAATGCTGATTGATAGGGAGGGAGAGAGTAAACAGCACATGGTTTAACAGCTGATTTTAAAAAATATTTTAAATGTGTTGTTGTGGATCAACCTTAGTGAAAACCAGATTAAGATAGTGTTTGTTAATGATGGAGTAACTTTCTTTTTTTATACCCTGTTAATAGGAAAAGAGTTTGAATACTAGTATACTTAGAAACTATGTTTCTGAGTTTCTAAGTTTCCATAATTTACTCCTATATTCATATATGCATGGAAATGTTCTTATTCACCTTTTTTGAAGTTGCATCCTAACTCTCGTGTTGGTTTTTGTTTTGGTTCTTTTTTATAAAATACTGTAGGTTTGTGGGCAAAGATTATTCTTCTGCCCAGGAACAAATGGAAGATGAGATGAAAGCATACTATAGTCAGAATAGCACAGTGTCAGCAGCTCAGTCTCTGAGTGTTGGGCAGCTTGTTGCAGTACATGCTGGAGAAGACGCCTGGGTGCGTGCTCGGATAATTTCTCTAGAAGACAACAGAATAAAGGCAAGTAATTACCTCTTTTGGCACTTGGAGAAAGAATTGAAACAATCTTGCATTTTAGATACCTGGTTAATTCTTAAATATGCTGCAGGGTTTTTTTCTATCAGGTTTTTTTCCATAACTAATTTGAGTTTGGGGGCTTTTTTGAGTTTTATGTGGGGCTGGGCCCTCTAGCACTTTGGTACTGAAAATTTACCTCTGTTAGGAGGGACACTGCATTAGCACTATTTGGAGTGGGACAGAGGAAGGGAAAGGGAAGGACAGAATTCAGTTGCTGCTAGAGCTTTTTGAGGTCTTGTACTGAAGTATCTCTAACGTGCACTAAATAGCAAAAAAATGAGAAGGTTATATTTTCCCCTTCCAGGCAGATCTGGTATTCTGGGAGTTACATGTAGTATGCATTTTAGTTAAACCCCACTGAGATTATTTGACTCCTCTGTTAAACTTTCCCTGGGCCAAGCAGACTCTTCTTGTTATCTGCAGTTTAGTATTAGAAGTTTAAAAGAAGTTTAAGACTTCTCGATTATTTCTTGCCTCGTCAAACACTGATTATATACCCTTTTAATTTTTTTTTTTTGTTTCTTCCCCCAGTTAGGTGACTTTTTATCTAGGTCTTCTTAACATACTTGAACCATTTCATAAATACTTAAATAGCACATGTATTAGAATTGAGGATTTTCTGAGAGTTAGTATGATACCCTTCAGCTGGAGCTTGTTGGAGAGTGTCAGAACTTGGTTTTGAAAGACTGTTGGTTTTAGAGAAGTGGCAAGGACATAGGTGCCATGCTTGCCTCTAATTTCTCCCTAACTAGAGCTACCAGCCAAAAGAAGGCTACTGCTTTATTGAAGCATTTCTGGTTATCCTCTAACACAGTGTTCAGACCTCCTTTCAGTATTTGATAATCAAACGTTTTGCATGATGGAGTTTAGAAAAAAAGTTGTAGAAAGTCCTGTAAAGCCTTCTTTCTCTTACTTTAACTCCAGTTATTTGCTACCAATCAGCAGTTTCCATAATGGTTTCTTGCACTGACGGTGGTAATCAGAGTTAAGACAAGCATTAATCAAAATGATTCTCTTAATGCTGTAAAAACAGCAGGCAAAACTTATAATGGCACCTAAGTGGTATATGACTTTTCAACAGTTTCAAAACTTTATAAACAAAAATTGCCACTTTATTCCTTTCTTCACATGGTTTGAGGTAATGCATGCTGAACCCTCCAGAAGTGGTCCTATTAAGAGCTGAGATTCTGCAGAACAGTTGAAGAGGATGGTTTTGCAGAGATCTTGAGAATGAAGCTTTCCTTGAAAACTCTGAACATTCAGGCAGTGAGATAAATATGAAATTAATGGTCTAATATTCTACTAAATGAGCAAACTGTAATTTTCCTGTGGCTGCACAGAGAATGTGGTAACTGAATGCATTTCCCCTAGACTCAAGAAAACATATTTACAATGATATTGATGATCTTATGCCTTTATTCCCTTTTCCATTTTCAGGTACGCTATGTTGATCATGGCTTCACTGAGTTTGTTGAAAGCAACAGTGTGTACAAACTACAGAAACAGTTCAGTTCGCTTCCTTTTCAAGCTGTAAAGTGTAAACTGGCAGGTAAGAGAAAGGCAGTGCTGGCTGTACATGATTGATGGATTGAAGCATCTGTGAGTCTGGGAGTTTTGATCCTTGATCTATCCGTGTATGATAGATTTTGTCCAGCACAGCTAATCTAAACAGACATGGGTAGACATGGAAAGAAGAAAAAGGGAGGAAGAAAGGATGTGAAGAAGAAGAGTTTTATAAAGAACCTTTGATATTAGAAGACAATTATATCCAGTATCTATGTAGTCAAACTTAGTTGTTTCTGCACTTGGATGTTTTTGTCCCTTTTATGTATGTGAGCCTAAAGAAATAGGAGAATAAAGAAATAACATTTACTGTTGTGTGAAACAATGTACTAACACAACACCTTTTCCAAAATGAGGCACATCTCTTGTGACCAGGTCAGGCAGTATTTCTAAATATGGACCTATTTAGTTATTTTAAAGTGATCCTTCCCCTTTCAATACTTGCATACCTACAGACTTTTAGACTCTGCTGGAATTTATTTACCTTTCTAAAACTGGTAGACCTTTCTAAGTTTTTAAAAATATTTTATTTTTAATGCATAAAATTGCTGCGAATGAGCTTGGCTTTTTACTTTGGTTGGTTTTTTTAATACTTCAATACATTCCTTTGTTCTCTACACATTTGCCTCAACTCTTTCTGAAGAGGATCTTTTCTATTCTGCCCCACCCCCAAAGATGGCTGTCTATGTTAAAAAGGCAGAAATTAAGTAGAATTCAAGTAGGGGTGCAGTACGGCTTTCCTTTGCCTCATCCTGGTTCTCGGAAGTATTCCTATTGTGAACACAGACCTGGTTATTGGTTTTGCCTTTGAATACATCAATTCATAAAAATATGATGTGTCTTACAGGACTGGAAGCCTTTTGTGATGATCCTGTCCTAATAAAGACTGTGGAATCACAGACATGCTTCAAGATATTTGCTGTGGAAATATTGGAAAAAAGTGATATTCCTCTTCTTGTTCTCTATGACACGTCTGGAGAAGATGATATCAACATCAATGCTACTTGTCTGAAGGCATTGTATGACAAGTCCCTTGAACTGCACCTGCAGGTACCACTGTCCTGTTTCCTTCTCAATTCATTAAAATTCATTGACTGCTGAGGTCTTAGATGGACAAAAAACAGTACTAAGAAATTTGCTAAGTGGTTGTTTTTCCCCTTTCATGCCAAAATCTTACTGTTGCAGGTAGATGCACTATATACAAATGTCAGAGTAACCAGTGTTTTCTCTGATGGAACCCTGTATTGCCAAGTGCCATCCAAAGGCTTGTCTAGACTCTCTGAAATATTGCAGAAACTAGAAGACTACTTTGTTTACAAGGTATGTTCTGTGCTGAGGGAAGTGGTGAAGTCATGTAGCCTTTCTTCAGAGTGTACCAATCATTTTCCCTGTACATAAGTTCAAGTTTCTGTAGTAGCCATAGACTGTTCAAAAAGGCTATAAATTCTCTTCCTCATTTGGGGGTTTTTGGGGTGCATCTTTCAGCATGAGCAGTGTCTTTGAAGCTTTCTTGTTCAGAAGCAGTCTCTAAGGCTTCAGTAATTACTTCTAAACTTTCCTTGAATAGTTAGAACAGCAGCAGTATGGCTCTTAATGGGGAGCTTCCAATGGAAACTGTGTCAGATTGCTATAAAGCCTGGAGAGATACTGCTGTATTTTTTTTTTGCTGGAAATTTTACTTATGTGATGGAGTTGAGATGCGTAAACAGCCTGGCCCAGAGCACATTGTGCAAAGTGGCAGCAGCATAACCAAGATCTGTTCTTTTAAACCTGTCTTTAACCTGGAAATTCAATGGCTTTGCTCTGATATGCTGCATCACTTGTCCCCTTGTCCCCTTAGCTTTTGAATGTTGTTGCTAATATCAACTAGAAGTGATGTACAGGAGACATTTTCTGAAGTCTTAAGTTGCTTTAAAAAGGGTGTGTGCCAGAGAAGTCTGACATTCCACCACCCATTAACAGACACATGCACCAATCCTCACTAGACTCAAGAAAATTTATGCCAAAGAGATCTTAAGAGAATCTAATTTGTTGATAATTCAGCTGAGCCTTGCAGAATCAAATCATGTAATGCAGATCCTTGAAGATCCTGTTAGAACTGCTGCTTGTGACACTACTCTGTTGAAAGTGTTTTTAGGTGTGTAAGTTAAGCTTTAGACCTCTTGTGGAATCACCTGGAAATATTTTGTGTTAAACATGTCTCAGTTATTGAGACCCAGTTTCAAGCGAGCTCAACACTGAAAGAGTAAAGAACCCTGAAAGGCTTAGCAAAACAAAGGAAGGCAGCCAGACAGGTATTTCAAAAGTTTGTGGGTTTGGGAGAGAGTATGTGTTATGTTCTTGTTGCTATTGAAGAGAGACATTGATCTTCAGGTTCTTTAGTTAACAAGGTAAAAGAAGCAATCTTGACTTTGCAGCTGATCTTGAGAGTTGTTTTTTCTTTTCTTTTGCCTGGGCATTTAAACAAACTAAGCAGTTGATGGTTCTTCAAATCGAGTTTCTTCTTACCTTTTATAGTGTGCCTATTGTCTTGTTACATTATTTAGGATTATCATGGTGAATGTCACCCCCCTGAGACTTTCATTTGAGTCAGTAGTAAATTTGGTTTGCTAAATATCTCAAGGAATTATATGATTTAGAATATAAGCTAGGAGTTTCTTCAGTTTTCTGTCACAACTCTAAACTGCTCTTGCTTCTGAGAACAGTAAAGTAATTATTGGTGATTTCATATAATGTGTTTCTAAGTGTTGCTTTTTCCCCCTGACACTTTGTATTCTCTGTAAAAGACAGAGCTTGGAATTAAAGTTTTGCCAATTGGGGAAGCTTAAAACGACGTGATGAGAATGTTTCTGAGTCTGGAAAGAGACTTTATATTTGAAACAGCGTTTTTGCTTCTCAGAAATATTTATGTCATGTGTGGCTTTTGAAATGGTTAGTCGAGTGCCAGATAGTAATAGCTCCATGCTTTTTAATTTCTGTTTTTGTATTTGCAGCAGACTTCCGAGTTAAATGTGTTGCTGCCTTTCTGTGGCAAAATCTGCTTGTTTCCTTCTAAAGGAAAATGGGCACGTGTAGAGGTAAGAAGTATTCAAAAAAAACAGCTACAGTTTTCCCACATAGAAATGTCTCTTTCTTTTTTTTCAACTCAGTCTGAATCTTTAGTTTCCATAAAACATTTTATAGTGTGTGTCAGTGAGGCTTTTAACCTCAAAATTATGCTCTTGCTTTCTTCTTTTCAGATAAAAATTATTCACACTAGACGGGCACTGGATGTGCAGTTCATGGATACTGGAACTGTTGCAACTGTGAAAGTATCAGAGCTCAGAGAAATCCCACCACAATTCCTGAGAGAAGTAATTGCAATACCTCCTCAGGTATAAAGACATGTTAAAGCCTAACCTATATTAGTTCTCTTGCCAGTGTTTGTAGTGCTGCTATTTCAAGTTTTATGTAAGGAAATTTTGTTTTGTTTCATAGCATTCAACATTGCAGTGTATTTCTCTGTGCATCTTTGCCTGAAATAAGTCACAGTGTAGTCCTGTATATGGACAGTATGTCGTGTATGTTTGATAGTGCTGGTTTTGCATGTTGGCCCTGTCCCGTTCTGTTTGTCACACACTGTTGAATCTGCCAGCATTGTCCTGTGAACTGGAACTTGCAGACTAGTTTTCGTATTTCTAAATTATACCTTGTGTACTTAATTCTGTTTGTAGGCTTTAAAATGCTGCCTAGCAGATCTGCCTCCTAACACTGGCATGTGGACTCCAGATGCTGTACTGTGGCTGAGAGACACTGTAATGAATTGCCCTGAATTTAGCATGAAGGTAAATAGTCAAAATGCCTATGGGACTTGAAATCCACAGGCGTGGGAAGAGAGCATTGGAAGAATAACTTAAAAAATTTAACAACTTATCAAGTCGATTTTTGTTATAGAAATGTAAAAGTTTATAACCAGCTATTGGACATAAATCCTATACAAAGTCCTTTTCTTAGGACATTTGACATAAAACTTACTTGCTTAAGTGTGTTAGAATCTTCTCTTTTCTCCACAGGAGTTTAGCAACTTTCACAGCAGCTTTTCACATTTTGCTGTCTAAGTCCAAATATGCAGCTAGAGTTATTTTACCAAATGATAAGAAAGAAACACAGTTGTTCATGTTTCAGCACATAAAAATATGCAACTTTTGAGTTAATCTTGAATTACTTTTATGCCTCTTGTGAGCATAGCTTTTTCTCCTTCTTGTCTTTGAAATCAGCTTTATTTTTTGTTTCCTTTTTCTAATCGAGTTTGATTCAATACGTGCTTTGTATACTTAGAATTTTTCTTATCTTTGAGGTAAAATTATTTCCATTTGCAATGTATCCTAACCAGTTCAATTAACTGAAAATATACTTCTAAAGAAAATCTATTACTTACTACAGACTAAACAAAACTAGTTTCCTAAAAAATTTCATTCCATATGCTGTCAGAGCACTTTGAAGAAGTGCTTTGTAGCTTTCCTTAACTTTTTTGCTTGCTTTAGTCTAGACCTCTAGTCTGAGGCTTATGCCTGTTACATCTGGCTTTTCTAAACATCCACTTCCAAGAGAATTTGTGTTTGGTGCTAATTTTTACTGGATTAAATAGGAGACAGCAGGTGTGTGCTTTAATTGTGGAAAGTTTTTATTCCTGGGTAGGAACATAAACAGAATAATCTCTAAAGAAATGTTATGTAGTTTCTGAAATTAAAATTTCAGTGCTTTACTATTAATAATGCTAGCATATCTGATGTTAAATACGAAATATTTTTATGTTGGTGCTTGAAAATTATGCATTATACAAACCTGGAAGCTTTGTTCATCTTTATTTTTTTTCCATCCTTAATTTAGTAGGCTTTACTTCCTGTAATGGCAGGAAGATATTTTGAAGGATTATGTGTTAATATTTAATAATTGTTTAGAGCTGTATGGACACTGGCTACTGTTCCACTGAAAGCTAGAATTGTGTAACGCAGTATTGGGATTGAACCTGTTGGGCAGAATGAAGCTCAGTTCAAGCTTTGTGCTTGCTTTACATGAGTGGAATAGCTGCAAGTGCTCTTTTTATCTGCTGTGAGTGGTCTACTCTCCATGACTTCATTAACGTTTTTGGGAGAATCTTGAAAATACTTCTGTGCATAAGTGCAATGAACTGTTGCCACTTTAGTCTTCAGTACAAAATCAGACGTGGATTTAAATAGTTACTAACTGGATATTAAACTGTATTTTGTGTTCCAAGGTGATTAAACAGGATGGTTCAAAGGGAATTGCACACGTTTACTTATTCGCTCCAGAGAATTTCCCAGACATGGATCGAAGCATCAACAGACAGATCAAAAATGCAGACTTGTGGAAGCATCAGAAAGATGTTTTCTTGAGCGTTACACCCAGTGGGACTAGCTCCACAAAAGTTATAAGTGACGGTGTTTCAGCTCTGCAGTTAACTAGTGGGAAGCTGGAGAAGAGTTTCTCTGATTCAGCCAAGGAGCCCAGCAGTGCAGTGTCTGCTGTCGATATGCCTCCTCCTCTACCCTTGCCAAAGCCTGGCGAGCTCATGGATATCTATGTCTCAGTGGCCTGCCATCCAGGCCACTTCATTGTCCAGCCTTGGAATGAGCTAAACAATCTGTATGCCCTGATGGAAGAAATGATCTTGTACTACAGCAGGGCAGAAGAGAAAGCTGTGAATATTGAAAAAAACAAGCTATATGCAGCTAAAATTGGAGATGAGTAAGTAGATACTTAAATTACTTAAAATCTTTGAAAGCAAGCTTAACTCTGCTAAGCTAGGCAAGCCTAGCTTTGCTTAGTCCGCATTGTTAACCAGGTGGCAGATGTCCAGTGATATCTGAGAGATTAAGGGAGTAAATGAGGTTGCACTCCCTTCATGCTTCCACACTGTAGTCGGAATAGTTGACTTTTATTCAGCTAAATCCAGATCTGGGAAGCCTCAGACATGGTTAAGATCTTTTGGTTGTGTATTATTTTTTCCGGTGCCTTGACAGTGTGTGAATATGAATTCAAATTGTCTGTGCTTGTTCTCCCCCTTTTTAGGTGGTACAGGGTCACAGTAAAAGGAATTCTTAGGAACGGTTTTCTGTCAGTGTATGAGCTGGACTATGGCAAACATGAGTTTGTCAGCATTCGGAAAGTACAGCCACTCACAGATGCATTTAGAAGACTGCCTTTCCAAGCTATAACAGCTCAGCTTGCAGGTAGGTAGCAAGCTTTTACAATTGTTTTTGCTCAGGTCTGCATCAGTGGGGATACCAAATGAGCAGAAATGTAAAGTGGACAAAATCACAGATTAGTGGTGTAATTGTTTTTTTTTTTTTCTGAAGTGCACCTGCTTGCAGAAACATGCTTAACACATACGTGTTTGTGTGATCTAAGTAGCTCTGCTTTTCTTCTTGGCATAGGTAGTGATAATTCTGTTTTGTTATTTGTTTCTTTAAGTTAATGAAGCACTTTTAGTTATCATGTGTTGAAAATGAAGATTGCTTAAGCTTTCCCAGCAACTGCTTTTTATTGCCATGAAATTTGTCATTTAATGTGTGTGATATCTAATATGCAAAGGACATGGAAATCAGAACTAAGTGGTTTTTTGGATCCTTTAACGTAAACAACTATGAAGTGTGAAAGTTATGATGTATCTGTTGATAAGAATGTAATGTTCTGATTATCCTAGTTTGCATAAAGTTGGGAACCTAGATGCTGAATTTCTGAAGAAATTTTACATATATATCTGGCCCCATTGTAATTTGCAATTTTGCAGTGCGTACTTGGAATCCCAAATTGCCTGAAATATATTGGTTTTCTCAGACAAATAAAAAAACTCCACAAGAGGAGTGAGGGCTTTTAATAAGCTAAAGTAAAATAAATTTCCTTGAGAATATGAGGCACAGAGAATGTGCATACATCTGAGACAATTAAAAAAATAAAACTTGATCTCTTCTTGCTGTCTTTTCCAAATTTTTCTTTCATTTCTGTGTTGCTTTCAGATGCATGCATCTCATCTTAGTCAGCTCCTGCTTTCTGCCGCTGTTTGGTCAGCACTAGTCTAGATTTCAGTCACAGAATGTGCTTGTTGGAAGTGACAGGCCACAGGGTTGGTGCTCTGATCCTGGTTTTCCTTCTGTGGATCTGCTTTCCTGTATGGCCTCAGTGTGACCTTGGGGGTTGCTTTAAGCTAGTGATGATGGATGTGTTACTGACAGGCTGGGTCCTGGGAGTGCAGTGCTGTAATGAAGCTGATTTCTAGCTGTGTCTGTCTTCTGGGGTAGTACAGGATCCAGCTGAGCAAGCCTGCAAGTCATCCACTTTTCCTGCTTCACAGAGTTCCCCAGGTAGCTAGTTAAGTTTGCCTCTGAGATGCTTCATATTGTCAAAGCAGGCCAACTGAGCCTGGAAGACCGGTAACTATTGTCTTGCTATTCTTTCACTTCTTTCTCTCTGTTTTCATGTCTCCTACCTCTTAGTCTCTGGTTTGTTCCAGTGTAAAATCCCATTTGCTTCCACAGCAGCCTTTCCTAACATTAGTTACCCTTTCTTAAGTGTTGATTAACTGTTGGCTTCTAATTCCTTCTGTAATCTTCAGGCAGCTGTGTTACCGTGTTGTCCTATCAGTGGCAAGCTGCTGCTAATAGTAGAAGCACAGTATTGTCACTTTGCTGTTCTACTTCTTTTACCCACAAGCTGTTTTTTGTGTATTCCTTCATGATATTTGAGCCCCTGTGTCTAAATGCTGTACACTGGCAGTGAGTGGTCTGGGGAGACTGAATCCCAAGTCTGCATGAGCCACTTCTTTCCGTGTGGTTTACAGCCGCATTTAAAAATCTGTTCATGTTCTAGCAGACTTGACTTTATGGGATTTTGAGACTTTGCTTTGCTCTGACTTTGACTTTGCTCTGAAAAAAATAAGAGCAGTTGTGAGGCATTTAGGCAGAGTTTTAATTCGTTTCTGCCCTCTGCAGAAAGTTTGGGACTTGAAGGCTCGGTTGATGTTTTAGTAGCTGATGCTGCTTTGGAATGAAGAAAACTTAATCTAAAGAAAGGCCAACAGGACAGATAATTTCAGCATCCTCAGGCTGAAGACAAAGAAATTTTGTTTTGAAAGGAACTTTCAAAAAGGTTCCTGATATGCCCTGATCATGCAAGGCAGCTGATATACTTTGAATTTCTCAGTGAGTCAGTGCATTTGCCTTTCACTCTCCATATCTTTAGACTTCAAGAAAAAATAGATGTCCTAGTCTGTGTAATAATTAAGCTCGTTTGTGTGGGAGATGAGTGAGCTTGTTTTTCTTTTCTAGGTTTAACTTGCATTCATTAGCACTTTAGCATCTGTTTTCTCAAGTATTTAAACATACCCCACTTCTTTATAAACTTAATAATTCAGATTGATCTAGTCTATAAATGACCTTCTGTTTTGCTTTACATTTGTCCTAGGAGTGAAAAACCAGCAGTGGTCAGAAGAGGCATCAATAGTGTTTCGGAATCTTGTAGAGAAGAAACCCTTTGTGGCACAGATACAGGCAGTTAATGAAAGCACTAACTCTTGGGATCGAAAAATAGTGACTTTTCTCGTGGACACATCTCTTCCACATATTGATACATGGATTCATGATTTTGTGTCACAAAGTCTTGTGGAATTTTCAAAGAGTGATTAATCACCACTTCTGAAACGTAGCAGCTTAGTGATGAAATAAGTAACAAGCTTTGAAGAGAAATATAACTACTACATGGCCTTGAAGACATAATGGGGATAAAACTGAAATATCTGTGTTTGTTTAACAAGTTTGGTTTCTGTTGACTTCAGTTGATTTTTTGAAAATTTTCATGTTGTTTACCATTGTAATGCTAGAATATTTAGATTAAAATATTTAAGAAGTTATTTATCAATAAAACAATGTTGAATTTTGTTCTTGTGATCGTTTCCTAATTTTGGAGGGGTTTTTATCTCATAGTATTATTCAGAGCCACTTACTGGGTAGTCCTCCCTTTAACAAACATTTTTATTACTTGTGAAACATGGATGCAGTCCTCAATATTTCTGAGTTTGTTGTCAGCGACATACATTGCTGGTGAGCTTTTCCCCCTTCCTTGACTTCATAGGCATTGAATAGTGCCTTGTTGGGGACACTGCATTTGTGGGGCTCAGTTTTCACAGAAGGGTTTGCGCTTTGTTTGCTCACTAGTCTGTTTGCTGCTCTTTAGCAGTGATACCATTTCTCTGAATTCTCCTCTCCCCTTCTCACCCCACCCCCCTGACCAGTTGCTAAATGTGAAGCATTCCTTTCCCACTTTTTTGATGGCTCGTTTTCATGTTTGCTTCTGAGAAACTTTAAAGGACTGCTCCCTGGAGACAGGAGCAAGCAGAGTCCTATAAGCACGTGGATGGGTGCTTAAAGTCCTCTGAACATGGTATTTTTGGACTACTTTAGAACCTACTTCATTTTTGGCCTTAGAAATATTTAGAGGAGTTGTAGACATGGTTATATTTTGTAGTCTGCTGCCTAGATTTGAGTTTGCTTGCCATAGTTCCTTCAGATTGTTAAGCAAGCACCGTATTAAAGCTTTATGCGATGAAAGCCAGCAACGGGATTTTCTTTGCTGCACCTGGTCGTATAATATTTCAAGTAGTGCACAAGCTGAGCTAAGAAATTCTGCCCTTAATGCTGTTTGCAGGAGTACAGGAGACTGGGCAGAAAGGAAACCAAGACTGAATGGTGAGGTGCATGTTAGGGTGGGAGAGAGAAAATGCATACAAATACTCTGAGTAAACAAGCTATGTAAGCATGTAAGACATTTGCACTCTCAGTCTAACTCTGGTGTAGTTCTGGAGAAGGTCTGAGCTAAGCAGCAAGGAGTCCTCTGGGGAGACTGGTGAGTGTCTCTCTGCCTGGACTGTACGCAGGGTATAGCAGAGCCCTAATAAATAGAGTGGGCAGTGGTAAACTAACAAACTGCTAGTCTAATGCAAATTGCTACTTCATGGTCCTCTCCATATCTGAGTATACTGAGGTTTGAGTCAAGATCCTGAGTGTACTTGTTGAGAAAGGTAAATTAACCATGAAAATATCGGGTTTTTTCCGTATTAATCAACTTCTTCTTCAGCTGCCACAGCAGAGTAGGTGAAGAACACAGGTGAAGGAATCCATGGGGTGATAACTACTGTAGGATAAACTTCCATGCAGAAGTTTCCCTCTGCATAGGATATGTTCTAAGCCTGAAAATTTGAATGACAGAGGACACTAGGATGAGACAAGCACTTCCCTGAGCTCTTCAAGAGAGTGAGAATTTACCTGTGTGTCTAACACGTCACCCTCATCTGCAATCATGCAGTCTGATGGCTAGAAGCCATTGTAACGGCACAGTGCATTTTGCTGGAGCTATTTTGAAGCTTGGTTTCGTGAGAAATACCCATGCTGTGTTTGCATCCTTTAAGGCCTGGGCATCTGCTCTTTGCCAGAAGTTCATTTGCACTCAAGATGGTTTTCAAGCCTGTCTGCCCCTTCTGGAACGTGCCTCACCCTGTCCTTGGTTGTCAGTGGCTAAGAAGCCCAGATGAGAAGTAAGGACAACAGTCCTGTGGTCTCACAGCTCAGTGCTGGAGTTCACATGGCTAAAACAGAGTGCAGTGTAGCTGATGAGCAAACCCAGGAGCACCACTCTCCGTGTGGTGAATTGTTTTGTGCCTGCATGGAACATACACCCTACCCCAAAGTTAACACATTGCTGCGTTCAGTTCATACACTGTGTCCAGAGAGGCTGCACTGAGATGTCTCTCCATTCCCACTATGCAGGACAAACTCTCTCTTCAGTGTCTCCATTACTAGTCCATTACAGTACAGGTACTGCGCTGTTACTGCCATCTCCTTACGCTGTGATTTTGTTTGCAGAACTATGATTTTAATGTTACTCTATCACTGACCAACCCGTAAGATTCTCTGATACGCTTGCTAATTGACCTGCTAGTGCTCTTAAGAGTACATTTTGTGCTGCTCTGCTTTGAAAAACGTGCAGAAGATGTTGACTGCGCTCAACATTGAGCGCTTTGGGCTTGCTGAAGTTTTTGAACCGTGAAATAGTGTAATCAGCAGATAGTCTGTGGATCCCAGGAGGCGTTAGGCTGCTCTGTGTAAGTTGTTCACGCAGAATGCTGCATGGTTTTTAGCTTCAGTTTTTCAGCAGTCTGCGTTCCAGGGTGGTTGTGAATGGTTTCTCTGCTTTCAGGAATGCATGGCACTTCACCAGGGGTGCTGCCATAGCCTGTGTCTGAATCCAGCAGGTGGTGGAGTTAGTTTCACATGATCTTTCCATTCTGACAGCTGTTAGAAAGGCCTCCCCTGGAACCCTGAAGGCATTGTCCTATAGGAAAGATGTGGATTATTCACAGAGAAACGAGAGGAAAGCAAGAACAATGGAAGTCTAGATAGTCTGATTTAAAAAGTAGGATTTGCAGTTAGTCTGGATAGAAGAAGGATAAAGAGGGGAACACTTTCAGAAGTGGTCACTGATAACTGTTTTATATATAAATAAAATAAGGCATGTAAAAGCTTGAATTGCAGAAAGGGAGGTTTATATTAGGTGTCAGACCATCTTTCTAAATAGAGGGGCAAAGCCTGGAAATTCGTTGGAACTCCAGTTTCATTGTAAATGCCAAAACCATGTAGGATGTATCTGCAGAAGCCCAGCTGATCCTCCCTTGGAATGTCGATATGGAATGTGTAATTCTTGGGACCTCACCCAGGATAACTTCCCAAACAAAAAAAGAGAATGCAGCTTTGTTAGACATGTTTTGTGGATCACAGTGAATTTTATAAAATGGAAAATGAGCATTCATTACCTAGGGAAAACAGATGACACTGTAATAACTAAAACAAAGCAGATATCTTATTTTCCCAGGGCTGTGAACAATAAGCACTTTCAAACCACTTCTTTTCTGTTTATTCTATCTCAGCTGTATTTTGTTGACTTTACAAAGTTATAGTTTACCTGTTCTCTTCTCCCAGCGCGTTCACCCTGGGTCATTTTGAGGAACTCTTATTTCATCAGAGAAATGTGAGAACCCTCTTTGCCATCCCAAAATGAATTCTTATCTCCAAGGTTTCCACTCCTGGACTCCTCTTTCCCCATTTGAGAAGAATTTTGTTGCAAGGATCTTTTGTCTCTGTGTTTTCACCGCACTCATCCTTTGTCCTCACAGTTATTATGCGTGAGGCAAATCTTGGAAAGAGCCTACATTCTCATGTGCTGCTTGTATTAGACAAGAAAAGTGAAGAAGAGTCATGCCATGAAAAAAAACATCACTTTAGACATTCATAAAGCTTGAGAGCTTCCTTTTGTGTTCTTTCGTTCTTTGCTGATATTTTCAGATTGGACTGGAAGTCTTAAACAGAATTGTCCTGCCCTGTGAAGTTAGAAGTTGGCTAGGGCAGGAGGTTGTGATCTGAGCAGACATGGTTCAAGCATGCTGAACCACTTCCTCTAGAAGCCTACGTGTAGTTAGACTTAGTGAAACTCGGTGTCTTGTGAAAAGTGCTGCATGGTACATTTTACTTGCAGTGTTCATTCCTGCAGTGTGTCACGGCAGACAGGTGAAAAAGTATCACTGATACACTGAAAACAAATGTGCTGAGAAGCTGCGTTAATGTCTTGCCTGATGGAGACAGGCCAAATGCATTCTAAAGGGGCTGTAGCGCTCACCTTGGATGAGCTGCTGGTGCACACAAAGCTAGATGTGACAGCGGCCAGCCAGGATAAAAAATTAAGTGCTATGTATCTCAGAGAGCCAAACCAACGTGGCCTTAGTAGGGAAGCTTGGTGGTGCCAGTGGATCCCTTCCTGAGCCACTCACAGCTGGCACAGCGTTGAGAAAGGCAGTTGGTAAACAGGTGGCATAGACACTGGTGTCCAGGTTTGTCTGGTCTGGTACCAGTCAGGCTTCTTCAGCCGGAACAAACTCAGGCATTTGCGGGAATTGGGTGGTTCTGAGAGTGCCCTTTTCTCTCCTGCCAGCAGCTGGGATGATGACAATGACCTGGGCCATAATCCTGCTCACCTCAGCAAGGCATGCACCGAATCCGTTTGTATTCTTCATTTGGCCCAGCTGTGCGCTGTATTTCCAAGGCTAACTGCAGATCTTTCCGAAATGCCATGGGACGTGGAACTTCAGTGCCAGCCAAGTCAGCTGTATGACAAGCCATGCAAAAAAAGCCAGATGCCATCTCATGGAGACTGCAGGCATTTTCAGATGAGGGTCATCACTAGGTCTGGGAAGTATAGGGCTGGAGAAGCATTCAGATAGACTGCCCTCCTCTGATAAATCTGGGACCCCCTCCGCTCTTGGCTTGTGGCTGCTGGTGGAGACTGGAGAGCAGAGAGGAGGGGGAGCTTGGGGATGACAGTTTGTAGGAGATTTGTTAAAGTCCCATGGATTTGTCCTATAATAACTTTTTACAGTGAGTCAAAGGTGAGATGGGGAAAGGAGATTTGGCAGCAACATCAACACTGTGGACACCATAAGGTTGGAAGGCAGCTCTCCTGGGCTGATGGCAGACTTGAAGCTGCTCTAGGTAGGAGGTGGCTGTCACTGGAGGTATGGGGCAAATTGATAGGGAGTAAAGTAAGACCGGATGAGTAGGTACTTCGATACAGATGGTGTTTGTGGGGAAGTGGCTTCTATAAAGTGTCCATGCTTGCAGCCACAGGTTCCCTGCAGTGCTGGTAGTGGTGCCATCCTGCCAGAGGCCTGAGTGGCTGTGACTTGGTCTGGCTGAGCCTTGAGAGTCCCCTGTGCCCCCTGTCCCAGTGCTGCAGCACTCATCCCGGGAAGGAGTTTTTCCAGGCATAGTCTCAGGGTACTTTACAGTGACCTGGATCCCCATGAAGATGCGTGCACATCTTCTGGGGTTTCCC